TCGCCCAATTCTCGCCAAGCCGGCCAATCGGCCTCTGACCGTAACCCCGGCCACACTCCATCACCCCGGCCGTCGCCGTCGGCCGTGCCTGGCCACAAACGGCGTCGATTGAGGAAGCAATACCCTTCCTCAACTCCGGTAGATGAGGGCTCAAGGGTTGAATTGGACGAAAACATCATGGCGTTGTGCCATTGTCAAATTACTGACCGGGGGTTCGCCGATGCCACTGACATGGTTGGACCCTCCATCGAGGTCATGAGACCTACCAGTACTCAAACTGCTCTAGACGCACCGTCGGGGTTCTTCACGGTCCATCTGGCGTCTTTGAAGAAGGGGCTGCGCTTCCCACTCCACCCGTTGTTGATCGAATTCCTCAACGTGGTGGACCTTCTCCCGTGCCAACTGGTCCCCAACTCTCACCGGTACATCGCCGGTTACCTGGTCCGGTGCAAAGATGTAGGGGTGAATCCGACCTTGGACCATTTCATATTCACCTTCAAACTGACCAAGGGCCATAAGGATTGGGCGTCCTATGCCAGTCTTTCCCAGAGGTCCAGTAAACTCTTTGCTAGTGATAAGAAGGGGTCAACTAAAGAGTGGAAGCCTTTCTTTGTCTTCGTTTCGACGGGGCCCGAATCTCCTTTCACGGGTTCAGGGCGACCTTCCTTCCGCCGCATCCCATGCCCCCCACCTGATGCCACCCTTTTGTCCATCACTCGCCAACTCTGCAACAAGGGAGTTATGAACGTCAAAGAGGTGGTGACAGAGGAAACCCTTGCCGGGTTTGGGTTTGAGTTTGTTCAGGATGAGCTTCGCCACCAACCCGACCTACTGAGGGACATCCCCGGGGGGCATCAGCCTGACCAGCTGAAGGACATTCCTGAGGAAGGTCTTGATTGTGGTCCTTTTGTTAGGTGACCCTTTCTTTTGCCCAGATGTTTAGTTTATCTTTTCCCAAGGCTGACCATTTCCTTTGTTTCCAGTGGAATTACAAGATTCAGGAGAAGAGATGGACAGCGATCTCCTGCTCAGTCGCTTCACTGCAGGGAGGAAAAAGAAGAGAGAGACGAAGGGCCAGGGCAAACGTTCTTCATCCCACCACGAGGAGGGTCCTTCTCGAGAGCCGGTCGTAACTGTGGTGGAGGACCAAGAAGATGCTACCCAGGAACCGGGTACCATGGCTGGCCAGTCCCTTCCACACCCCGTGATGCAGGGTGGCGACCTCGCTGGGTCGTCTCAGGGCATTGCCTTGGAGCGACCTCCATCACCACCCGCAGTGACCTACGAGGTGGCGACCGGGGGTCGCTCGACGAGGCTCTGCATCCCTCCCCTGCCCCAAAGCCTAGGGGACGTACAGCTGGAGACTCTTATCACTCTGCCTGCAGAAGACCAG